TATATGATTTTATGAATCTATTCAGAGCCTTCCACACTTGAGATTCAACAAGGAAGGAAATCTTCTTGCTGTTACTACTGTGGACAATGGATTCAAAATTCTTGCTAATGCTATTGGTCTTAGATCCTTAAGAACAATTGAAACTCCAGCATTTGAAGCATTGAAGTCACCCATTGAATCTGCTGCAGTCAAGGTTGTTATATAGTTCTTTACTTTTTCTTGGTTCTTGATATTTAGATCAAAATACGTATTTATACTATCCATTTTTTTAATGTTATCTAGGTATCCGGTTCTTCTGCTGTTAATGTTAGTCCTGTCAACTGTAAAGTGGAAAGGAGCTCCCCTGTCAGGCCTTCTCCAATTCTAGTATGACCCTGGCCCTGTGAACTCAGTATGCATATGATTATGATCTTAGCAACTTAGCATGATGACTATGGCCTAACAGTCATAGCTTAACAATTAGAAAAGTAATATTTAAGTATTATGAGTCTATGACTATATGTTTCATTTCTTCTGTAAAGACACACAAGCATGTGGAACATGCTTGATCTTTTTCTTCTTCTGGTATGTGTAATCCCACTATGCTATGGCCTTGCACATGATGGAGGAAATCTTTTGGATATCTTTGTTATTTGATGTGTGGTATTTCTTTGCGGAATAACTTGGTTAATTATTATTTATATCTTTTTGATTAAGTTACTTATTACTCATGAATTTTGTACTGCATCTTAATACTTGATCACAACTCATTGATTGGTTTTTCCATTTTCAACGAAGAATGGAGTTGATCCCACAGGTCGAAATGGGGAGAAACCTAGAACCATGGAAGATGTAATAGATAGAACTAAACCATGGCAGCTGTCTGAAATTGTGGATCCTGCCCAATGTCGGTTAGTTACCATGCCTGACAGCACTGATTCTTCCAGCAAGGTTTGTTGATGTTGATTGTATGAGAATGAGATTGCCATTTTTCTACTGCCAACTTTTTATTCCGCGAATTTCTTTTAACTCTCAGAATCATATATAGGTTGTTCGACTTTTATATACGAACTCTGGGGCTGGTCTTTTGGCACTTGGTTCAAATGGTGTGCAGAAGCTGTGGAAGTGGGCTCGCAGTGAACAGAATCCCACTGGGAAGGTAATATTCCGTGAACATTTGCTTATATCCCTCTCCAGTCCTTTTGCTTTTTACTTTTCCCCTTTCAATAGAGAACAAAATTTTGAAGTTTATATGATTACAGGCGACTGCCGGTATTGTTCCCCAACATTGGCAACCCAACAGTGGTCTTCTTATGACTAATGATATCTCGGGTGTCAACCTTGATGAAGCGGTTCCTTGTATTGCACTCTCAAAGAATGATTCGTATGTTATGTCTGCTTGTGGTGGAAAGGTTTCGTTATTTAACATGATGACATTCAAGGTATGTGTCCCCAGATACAACCGTGATATTCCATTTAGTTGATACAACTGGTTACTTATGGTTTACTTTCTTATAGGTAATGACAACTTTCATGTCACCACCTCCTGCCTCGACCTTTCTGGCTTTCCACCCTTTGGATAACAACATCATAGCCATAGGGATGGAGGATTCAACCATTCACATTTATAATGTTAGAGTGGATGAGGTGATTGCTATCTTTCACTGCTTACTTTCTTTCTTCATTTAAAGATTTATAATATTATTTTTAAATAATCTCATATATGTTTTCTCTTGGGGGTATCTTGTAGGTCAAATCAAATTTGAAGGGTCACCAAAAGCGTATTACTGGTTTAGCCTTTTCAACCAACCTTAACATCCTGGTTTCATCTGGTGCTGATGCTCAAGTATGTCTTTTAACTGCTCTCCCTTCATTTAAGATTCAGTGACATGGAAAACCTCTTATGCTAAATTATTTAGTACCTAATAATTTGTTTTGGAAATCTCTTTGTCAGTTATCCGTCTTTAGATTTTTTAATTATTCCATGTTATGTTAGATCTGCTTCCTAGTGCAAAGGATAGCAGAATATCCTTGCTTGTATATTCTGGACTATTAAGAAATTAAATAACAAATTAATTGAAATTATTTTATAGGAAGGTGTTAATATTCAATGTGTTGTTCAATATCATTTTCTTTTTAGTTTCCATATAGTATTGTGTACCTTTCCATAACAATTTACTTGGTTGAAATAATTTCCGTACAGATTTGTGCTTGGAGCATTGATACATGGGAGAAAAGAAAATCAATTACAATACAACTACCTGCGGGAAAGACTCCTGTTGGTGACACTCGAGTGCAGTTCCATTCTGACCAACTCCGGTTATTGGTAGCCCATGAGACTCAGCTGGCCATATATGATGCCTCGAAGATGGAACGCATTCGCCAGGTAGGAAGATTCTTCTATCTTGTATTGATAGAGACAAAAATTAAAATTGAGATATCCTTATAAATTAATTTTGCTGCAGTGGGTTCCACAAGATGTTCTGCATGCTCCTATATCATGTGCATCTTATTCCAGCAACAGTCAGTTAATTTATGCTACATTTTGCGATGGCAACATTGGGGTTTTTGATGCTGACAGTTTGAGACTAAGATGTCGTATTGCATTATCTACATACATGTCACCGGCGGCTCTAAGTGGGTAAGTCTCATCGCAACAGATTCGGACCCAGTTTATAGTTTTTTATTGTGTTATGTATGTATTGAACATTTATTCAAGGATGTATTGGGAATCATAACTTCCTTTTAGTGATTCATGATTTGCGAAATTCTACTGTTGGAACTTGACTGGTTGTCCGTGTTGCACTGCAGAAGCCAAGGTGTGTATCCTGTGGTTATTGCTGCTAATCCACAAGAGCCCAACCAATATGCTGTTGGATTGACGAATGGGTCGGTGAAAGTAATAGAGCCCAGTGAATCCGATGGTAAGTGGGGATCTAGTCCACCTATGGATAATGGTATATTGAACAGTAGGACAGCATCATCATCTACAACAAGCAACCACACACCCGACCAAGCTCAGCGATAAAATGGTAAATGTTTAGCTGTAAGCTCTCGTCTTGTGTACCTAAATTTGTTATAGTCAACTCAATTACACCATTTATACTTTTATTGTAGTGTACGTACCTGTTTCTTGCTAACAATGTGAATCAAGTTCATTCTCCTCACATCTATGATACGAAATCTGTTTGTATATTGCTATTGCTATTGAGCTCCACTAAATGAACCACCACAGAACAACTTAGTAAAAATGGTTAAATAGTAATAGTCTTCAGTAGAGGCAATGGGTTTTCATTGGCAATGTGTTGTCATACGACTCTTATTTTTATTAATTCTTCAATGATATAGCAATCGTAATATGTGCCAAAATAAATGACATAGTTCAAATAGGCAATTCGAATAGAATAAAGTAATTGAGTTTGCATTTGATACACGTTTGAGAGAATCTCTCATTTCCATAGTAGAACTAATTTCTTTTGATATTCAACGCAATCAGAACTGATCTAAACGATAAAACAATTGTAAACAGAAAAAAGAAAAATCTGGAATGAATGAGAATAGTAAAAAAGTTCCTCACTGGTCATACAAACTAAACGACGGATTGGAACAGCTGGGGAAAAGTAGAGAATCATCAGATTCGTTTCAGAAAAGCCATGTGTTGTGATTTTGCTAAAAAAATAATTAAAAATGACGGTAGTCTTGTGATTTTGCTAAAAAAATAATTAAAAATGACGGTAGTATAGTGATACTAATGTTACCTATGTTGCACAGACACGGTACGTTAATTTTAAAAAATATTAAATTTTGATACGTTATGATACGTTTTGATATTATATAATATTTTTAATTTATGTAGTGTATATTATATTTAGTATTCAAGAATTGAACAAAAAAAATCTAAACTTATAATATTCATCAATTTTACAAAGAAACATATTATATCCCAAATGTTTATATTAAACTCAATAAAATCGTAATCGTAATATAACGAATCTAATAATTGAAACTCAAAATGCAACGTAACATAACTTTTGAATTTTTTTTTTGAGTCCTTACAACGAGTATTGAAATGTCGAAAAGTATCGGATACGACACGTTAAAATTTTTCAAATGTCAGTGATTCATAGAGTGTTAATGATAATACAAAAAAAAGGGCTTAGATACGTTTATTAACAACAATCGATTTTCCACGAGACATAATAAAAGGATTGATTTAGGGATGAGAGATATGGATGATTTGCTTGAAGTGATATGTTCAAATCTCAATGTTCTCGTCATATAAAAAACATATATTAAATAATTATATAATGATGAATGTTGTAAAATATGTTAATTGAAACCCCATTGAATAATATACAAAGCTTGATGACTTTTATATTTAAAAAAAAAAAAAAAAAAATTTGATGACTTCCTCCGAATATTAGTCTCGTTAAAATTCAATTTCATATAAACTTATAATGGCTAGACAGCAGTTATTGTAATATGGAAAGCCTATCCCATAGATAGGAACAGGACAAGGTCGACACAAATTTTCACCCTTCAAAGCCAGCTAAGCTGATGAAATAGCCAGGAAGTTTCTCACACTGTGTGAACCATTTAATTCTGTATTGTCCTATAAAATTTGATAAAGCAAAATTTCTCTAAAAACTATATTTGCACATTCTTTATACCTCTCTCATCTAACCGCTTTTTATTAGTAGAAATTGCATAGCAGTCTTTAAAAAAGCAATGGTTCGATTTTCAAGGTGAGGTGCAAAGATTGTGCAAAGCTAAGGTGGGAAGTAATTTGAGCTGATTTTATTTTATCAATTTGTTAATCAATTTTCGCGTTCAAAAACTAATTGAACTAACCACTTGTGAAGCATTGAAAGAGATAGAAAAGAGATTTTCAGTCCCAACTAGGGATAATATTTTTTCTTTCATTTATTTCAAGTATATGAAAAGGACCCCAAATTAATCAAACTATACTGTATTATTCTACATGTCTCTCGACATTGCACGTGTATTATTCTACATGTCTCTCAACCTTGACACTCAGGACTCTGAATTTTAGTACAATAATCATAATTCAAATACTTCTTTCGCACATTGTTGTAGGCCTGTTGTTGAAGAGGGTTTAGTTTTTGATACTTGTCAGCATTCCACCAATACTTAGAGGAATAACATTCTTGGTCATATGTGTTCTGTGTTTGGCACGCATTGTTGATTCCAAATCCTTTGTAGTGTGCTTCAAAGGGTGCATCACTCCATTTCACTGGAAGTCCACCAGATGCCCATGTGCTTGTCCAAATTGTTGCCATAATCCTCAATGTCTGTGTTGGGAAGCTCCCTCCTTTACTTGTGGTGTTCTTGAACACCCTGATAGGTGTGTCGTCCACAAAAAATCTGCAAGATTTCATTTCAATATTAGGAAAAGCTATATCCTAATTACACGTCAAAGAAGTTTTATTAGGCAAGGAAAAGAGAATAGAATAGTTATTGTATTGATATGTACACTATTTGTTGTTGGTTCCAGAGAAGGGTGTAATTATGAAAATCTGCAGTGGGATCAAACCAAAGAATGATCCGTTGCTCCCTGCCACCTTGCCCTTTTGTATATATGTTTGTGTGTAATAAATAAGGTCGTTGCTTATTACTACCCAAGAATTCAAAGTCAATTTCATCTCTAGTTGCTCCGCTATCTGAGATGAACTGCAATATATATACATAGACAAGAGCATATATTAAGGAAATTGATGTTATAAAAGAATCTGAGCACATGCATATGCAGAATTACAAGTATATATAGTTAAGAAAAAGTACATAGAAAGTTGTGATCACTGTCGTGGAATCCTTCTGTGGCAACTTAATCCTAATGTTAAACCATCCAGAACCATATTTCTGCGAGGACTGAAAACCACAACCTGACAAAAAAAAAAACTATATATTAAAAAGAAATTCAAGATTGTTAATGGTTAATTGTGTTTATTCTTAATAACTATCACCTTTAAATGTTATTCAGTAAAATCACATGCGTACGTACATCCGCGGACCCAGTAAGGGGCAGATGTCCGCAAGTGCGGACATCAAAAATTGTGATTTTAGTTTTTATTTTTTTAGTAGGTTTTATTTGTCTCTTAATTTAATATTTATATTAAGAATAAATATTCTTTTAAGTCCTTAACAAAAAAATATGGTCTCCACTTTAGTTTCTTGTAAAAAAAATTAATCTCGAAATTCCTAAGAAATTTAAAGTGGATCAATTTAGTTAAACTTATGGTTCCTTACAAATTCAAAAAAGACCCACATTAGTCACTTAGAAAGACTAAAATGTGTCTACTTTGAATTCCATAGGGACCAGGTCACTAATTTTTTTTTGTAAGAGACTAAAGTGGAAACCGAATTTTTTGTTAGGGACCAAAACGAATATTTACTCTTATATTAGTTAGCAATGTAGCAACTTATTTTTTTTTTGTAAAGCATTAATGTAGATTGTCTTCACACAAAATTTTTTTTGCCCCTATCACTAAACGTGCGGACATAAAAAAATTTTGTTGGGTCCGCCACTGCGTACGTATAAATAAGTAACCACGTATCAAGTGCAAAATAATTTTTTGTATATGTATATATTATATGCATATGTACGTATTATTTGTGCTTTTTCAAGAGGATGAGAAATCTACCCGAATGTTGGTCTAAGGTTAGCTGAACTTCCCTGCTTTGGTTGAGAAGCCGTATATTTTCTTGCCCCCATAGAGGAGCATAGTTTTGCTCAAAAGGAACATTATCATCCTGAGTACCATTGACGTGCATATGCAATGAAGTGAGAAGGGAAAAAAACAAAAGAAACGATAGACAAGAATCCATGAAGAAAATGATCCAAAATGAGAAGGTTAAGGCTTATTATGAGGTTTCTCTTGGTGTTGTGGTTGGGGGTTTATATATTGTTAAGGTTATGATTGAACCGAATAAATGTATGCATGGTTGAATGGTTTAATGGTAGTCAAAAGCAAAAATAACGTATGTAAATTTAATATTTAATTATTATTATTTTTAAAAAAAATACTATATTAATATGAATAATAATGTTGTAACAATGAAGTGTTAAATAGATTCAAAGAAAGTTAAAAAGTAATACATTGTTTTATAATATTTTATATAACAATATGAATGCAATTTGTTTTATATAAATTTATTTAAAAATATATAACATTATATAAATATGAAATATATATATTCAAAAGAAAATATGTACATATAAAGTTTTTATGGGAAAAAGAATTCTTATGTTGTAGGAGAGTTCTCTTCTCATGTTAGTGGGAGTTCATTTTGCGTGTAATAATTTTTTTTATTTTTTATGTGTGAGCCCCACCATAAATTTGAGTGTGTATGAAACTTCCCTCCTCTCCAATAACATGAGAAAAGCATTACCCAAAGTTTATGCATAGACATGGGATTGGCCATGCATCGATTCAACGTGTGTAATATATTAAAGTCCCCAACATAAAGTTAAGATTCTCGAATGCTTATGCACTTGTTGGTCCCTTTGCCATAATGTAAATAGCAACATTCTTGCGTGCATAGATTAAATGCGTACTGAAACCTCACAATTTTTTATTTAATAGATGAAATTTTCTCATTTACTTCACCTACATGTTCATTTCAACTTTTTGTCCATCCATTCATTTATGAACTTGTGTGATACGTGAGGCTTTTGTCTGCTTGAAAGTATAATTCCTGTTTTTTCAAATTGTTTCTTCAACTACATTAATAAGACACTTAAAAAAAGAAAGAAAAAAGCTATAGCATGACATTTTATTTACTAAACATATATGCATTACCATATCATCAAAGAAATAAAATAGTCATTGTAAGAGTTAAATTTGTTTTAGTATTATGACAATGCATGATTGAGTAATATTTTATGCTGATGATAAATTAAAATTAAAATCTTATCGTTTGACAAGCAACTAACACCCATTTACAGAAATATCATCCCATATACACTTCGTTTTTTCTATTTGTAAACCAAATGGAAGAAGTACATTAAGAAAAGTAAAGAAACATCACGTAATTTTCCACCCTCAAACATGCACAATATAGCATGGGCCACGTAGAGATGATTGTAAGTAGGCTTGGAAATACTGGTAAAAGATTAGTGGATGATGATGAACATTTCACAAATTTTTTCTATCTTTTTATACCATAATATCTGATTCAATGTTAGGTTTGTTGGGATCGCGAGTATAACTTGAGAATATCACAGTATTAGGATATAGGCATTTTTTATTGCCGGCATATGTAACGCTTTTATTTATTTTCTTTTAGCGTTGTATTTTTTTTATTTGCGTATTTATTTAAAGTGAAAATTATATTTTAAAAAATTAAAATTCAAGTTGTAATCACTATTGGAGAAAATAAGTAATTAAATGTTTACACATTTATAATTTTTTATATAGATATTTATTTTCTTGTACCATCGATTTAACAAATTAATTTTTGCTGCAACTAGCAGGTATGAAAATGGGTCAAGTGAGATTAAATTTTATCTTAAATAGGCTTAACCTGTTTTAAAATACAAAACTTAATTTTAAACACCACTGCACACACTCACGCACATCTGAGGAAGAATCTTTTGACTCCAATGTAAGATTAAGAAATTTTACTTTGCATTTTAGCCATTGATTTTCGTTATTTAACATATATGGTTTAGTTGAAATCAATAATTAATTAATTGATAAACTTAATAAATTACAATTGTTAAATTGATGAAAATCAACGACTGAGATAAGAAGTAAGACTTTTAATTTTACACCGGAGTGAAAAAAAATCTCTCATAATTAATTAATTTGTACTTGGAAATTGGATTCTTTACGCATCCCAAATTCTCCATTTACCTTCTTTTCCATTGCGTTAACATCCTTACATATAGCAAAAGAATCACATCACAATATGTATCATTTTCCCCCTTTTTAAAGTTTCTTTATTTTAATTTCCAAAAAAAAAAACAAAAAAGTTTCTTTATTTTCATAAAGTTGGTTTTTTCATTTTTTACATTACACAATGTTTCAAAAAACACAATCAGTTTAGGACACTGGTTGATATACTGCCTTCTTTATCGTCACTCATACCTGGTTCATACTATATAACTTGTCATTCTGGATTATGTTGGTTCATATTGTTTTAGAGCTTTGATTTTCTTATATTGTATGAGAATCATTTTCTTATATTGTGACTCATCTAGTGGTGAGTCTCATATTTATTTATAAAAAACAAAATTACACAAAAATCGAATGGTCATAAAACAAAAAAAAACACTTCTCATGCAACATGAGAAGTGTTTTTTCCATTATTTTATCAATGTTATGTTTATTTGATAGGATTAATAAAAGAAAATCTCAAATATAATTTTATATATCTTTGTTCTGGCATGTTTTATATTTTTAAAAATAGTATTGTGCTACGCAACATTTTAGATATTTAATATTGTAATTCTTTCTTATTTTTGAGGTTTTTCATCGAGATAATTTGTACTGCGAAAGATTTTATGAATAAATATTAATTACAAGATGATTTTTATTAAGAGAATTCCAATGTTTTTTTAGTGAAATACTTTAAATAGCCCAGTTTTAATTTATATTTTATTGAATAATTTTAAATATAATTTAAGAACTTGCAGCTAAAATATTATATTTTTATTGGATTGAGTATAATAATTTCAAAGTACATAAGAATTTCTCATTTAATAAAATAAAAGAAGGAAAAAGTGTTTGTCATTTTAAATGACATAAAATTATGTCATTTTAAGAGAGATAGACACAAGAAAATATTTTTTTATTTAAAATTTAAATTAAAAAAAATCATCCACTTTCTCTCCCATGATTTTCATTCCTTATGTATATCTCTCTCTTAAAATGACATAACTTATGTCATTTAAAATGACAAACATCAAACTCATAAAAGAAACTTGTGTTATTATTTAATTTATTTATATTTTTCATCGGTTGTCCAAATTCTTGTATATAGATTACAACAATAAAATGAGAAATTACGAAATAAAATGATTTACATCACACTTAAAAAAATAAAGCAAGTAAAACACTTATATAGTACAAATAAAGACAAGTTAATTAATTCTACCAAAAAAAAGACAAGTTAATTAAAAATTGTCCTTTATTTTTATCCTTATAATCTTGAAAACTAAATTATTCATTTTGGATTTTATTTAAACAGAAAAAAATTAAACTGATAAATTGAATTATAAAAGAAATTTAAAAAATTTAAACTATCATTTTTTTTTATTTTTTTTTTGCTTGATCTTCGGCTTCGGTTCTACTAATTGTTTAAAATTCATTCAAATGGTTTGCCTAACAAGCTGGCCCGTCATTTAAAAATCGAGCAGATCATAATTGGGCTTTCTTATAACTTTTGTTGGTCTCCTCCTGTAAAAAAGAGTAGGCCCATGGGGCTAAGCCCAAATGTGATAGCTTTGCTTAGTGCTGAGTAGAAGGAAGGGTTATGGTTTTGTTATGTTTGACGAATGATAAGGATTCAGCTGCGAAGAGCATTCGGAATGCGATGATTAGATGGAACAATGCTTCGGCTTAACCACTGAGACACAATTACAAGTATTTATCATTCTTTTTTTTCTTCAAATTATTGCTCGTGATTGAATAGATTCATATTGTACTTTAGTTATTCTGAGATTTCAATTGCATAGATAATTCTACTTTGACGAATTGAGCTAAAAAATAAAACATAGACTAAGTAGCTGTAATACGCTGCGTGTGATGAATGGGTATGAATGAATTGTACTGGAAGCTATTTTTTGAAGTTGCACACACATAATATATCAAGTCCACAAGTTAAAATTCAATTTCCACTCTGGCATCCAGAGCCATTTATTTTTCTTCATACCATTAAATTACAATCTTAATTAACAATGGTAGGAGAGAGAAAAGGTGAAAGTCAGTTAAAATTATAATTAAAAAAAAAGAATAGGTAAAATAGATATGAAAAAAAAATTGATATAATATCTTATCCCATAAATAAAAAGCGGAATTGGTATTGTCCATTTTTAAAATGAAAGCATGATCATAATTGATAATATCGAGAACTCAATCTTTTATCAAATTATTGTTCATCTTTCTTATTTACGGACTTGTATAAAAATAAAATTAAGAAAAAAAAATATTCAAAAATTATTAATATACCTAGAATTTTTAGATGATTTTTTTTTTGGTAAAATAAATATGTAAAAAAAGTAGGGATACATCTTATCCCTATATTTTAAGTGATAAATAATTTTTATTCAGGCACACCTAAAAGAATTGGTGAAAACGGGTTTGATTCATATCTTTAAAATCAATTGCAGATCAGCCCAGCTGACATATTCCCATTAGATACGAAGTATCATTTGAGCTTTGGATTAAATTTTATATTTTTGTGCTAACCTTTTTAGCATCTTTGGTTCCTCTGGAAAGTGAAACTCAAATATTTGGGTTATATACACGAATGTATAAATAAAAAGAAGAAAAAACAAAATTATGGGTAGATCCTTCAGTGGATTACAGACTGACAGGTGGTCTATTAATATTCATCTTAAAGACTATAAGACATTGCTAATTAATATTTGTTGATTATGCACCATTAAAGTTCTCAGTAACCAGGTATGGCCACATCTTCAACACGTGAACCAAAACACTACTTAGCAAAAACTTTAAAGCCCTAATATTCATTTTAGAAACTCAAGTTGTTTGTACGTTACCACTATCATTGTACCCATAATATGTTTATTGATTAGGAGCTACTTT